CCCTTGAAATGACGGCGCTCTCTGCTCCTGGGTATCGCATTGTGGATCGGGCTTAAAGGAATATACACGAACTGGACTGGGGGACTGGTTTTCTTCGAAGGATTCTTTTCAGCGTCGCCAGGCCCGGTGCGGCGGTGAAGCGGGTAGGCAAGGATGAGAACAAGGAGAGACGAGGAGCATAGTTGATTTTTTACCTTCGTGGCGACCTTGCCAGCCGAGCAAGGATCCTCGCGTTTATTGACCCCGGCAACCATTCTCCTCTGCAAGCCTGTTGTGCATTCGAGTTGTGTTCGGCCCCTCGATCCCTCTCTCGCTTATCTTCGTCTTCAGCTGATGCTTTCGAGAGGTAAACATCCTCCAGGAACGAGTATGACTTCTTCTTATTCGCCGAAGCCGTTTCAATCGGTGAACTCGCTCGTTGCACGACCGCGTAATTTTCTTAGATCCCCCCTGTCCCTCCTCTCTCCCTTCGCCGTAATCGCTTCTGAAAATCGAACTGTTTTGCTCGTTGCTCGACCTTACTGCTATTATCCGTTACGTACAAGCCAGTCCACCTCCGATTAAAATGATAATGGAACATTACGTTCGCCGACGTTTCAGGAATTTCATCGTCTTTGTTCATCGGCTGGCTAATAACAGTCGCGCGCAACATGTCGCGCCGTTTCCATTCGATTCGCGATGGCTACGTAAGATCCATGTTATTGACTTACATATGCAAGGTGTAAATGACTCGCGCCAAGATCCGATCCGCTTCCACGCGAATGCTTTCGCAATTAACAACGGTTTCGTCCCGTTCAGCGGTTATTGATTGCGCGAAGCAAGCAACGCGACTCTCTTTCGAAATCCGTCGGACGTTACCGTGTCGAATCGACATATTTCCATCGAATCGCGGTGTCATCATTGTTACCGTTCTCACCAGCTCGATTTTGTTTTTAAACCGATCCGTGAAAGTTACTTCCCGAGCGACGATACTTCGCGCGCTTTCGAAAAATTTCGTTTCGAGCGGATGGCATCGCGCTGTTATTTCTTTTTTCTCTTTTCGCGTGAAAATCGCTAGGTGTAACGTGCGAAAGCGACCGAGTTTCGCCAAGTCCATCGAATGTTTCCTTCGATCGAGGAAAACCAAATGGCGACTCGCGATTTCCTGGGACCGCTCTCGCTATTAAGAAATATAATAAAAATATCTTTAACGTCAATTTCCAAGAATAAATCGCGCGGGGTAATAAATTTCATCGTCATAAATTGCAACGACGTAATCGATTCACAGCAACAATTAAAAGGCCATAATACGCGCCGATATCGCGGGTATTAAGCAGCTGCATTTTCCAATTGACGAAATGTCACGCGCAACGTTAGCCGCCGAGACGTACTTTCGATGGGCAGTTCACAATGCCGTATTCGTAACTCGCGCGTGACTCATGCGATGAGTTATCGCCCGCGACTCTCAGTTGCAAATTCTCGGACTCATTGTATAGAAACCATGTGACCGCGCGATTGCATCAAGGTCATACACACCGAATAAAGTTACCGATTGCATATCGATTTTGCGTGGCATACCGTTTCGAACATATGAAACGCTCGCGTGACGTTAGCGATTGATTCCGTTTCATCGACGATCGATAACTCTCGACGCAATAAATGCCATCGTTCGACAAATTCCACTCTTCCACCAGTAAAGAATCTCTATTTAAAAATCCACCCTTGAGATGGGATTTAATCGATTCGCACGGTTCTCGTGACGGGCGTAAATGAAAAATCAGTGAAGTTTTCGAGAAAAAGGGACGATCGTCAGAAACGGTCGATGCAGGTCAAAAGGCGAGCACGTACGCGAGCCATATTGGTTTCAACGGCAGTTTACGCTCGTCGGTTTTTGCAATTAAGGTCATTACCTGAACCTGCTTCGCCGCGGCTGTGCACACGAGTAACATGTGTGCCACCATTAATAACTACACGTCGACACTTGCGTTTCTTTGAGCGGGCAGACTGCTTCTTTCAGGCGGCTACTTGTCGTGGAATGACGCCACAAGTTATTTCGATAACCGCTCGAACGATGGCGCCGCGTTTTTTTGGCCGTCCGACTCCTAGCTTCGTTAGGACATGGTACAGAACGCGCCCGTTTCTGCTCTAACAATAAAAAGATTCCCTCCGGAGAGAGAAATTACCGCGTTCCCGTTAACCGATCGAATACCAATCGAACATAATTACGATGCTCGCTGCGATCATCCGTAACTTTTCAGAAAGCGTTTGCCTTCGGGAAAAAGATTGTTAAAGTGCCCATTCGGATAGAGTCTGAAACGTTCGCATCCATAAAACACAAAACGTCGCTGTCGATTGTTCAGCTATCGACGCGATATTCAAGCTATAATCGCATCGAGTAAAAATCTTGTCGCTCGTTTGTACAATTACAAGTGTTCGAGTACGATGGGATATAAACTCGGTTAATTGGCGAGAAGGAGACCAAAACAATCTTAATAAAGATCGATTGAGAATCAAGCGCGTAGCATTGATTTCGCAGGCACCCGGCGTGCGCGCAGCGTGTCCCTGCAAGAAAGTAACAGCTTGTGAAATCGACTGTTATTTATGAAAGGCGTTTTCTCACATTGTTCTTTTTCTCTCGTTATTTGTTGCATGCTGGTTAGGAGGCATATCGATTTCGAGGTCACTTGCTAATTGGCAATGCGTTGAACTCTGTTGGCGTTAGGCGTCGCGCGGTACCATATGGGTACATGGCTAAGTTTGAAAAAGACTGTATCAATTTTAACACCTCTACAGAAAACATACAAGCGTATAATATCGATTTGACAAAAAAAAGAGGCATTTCTTTTAATATATTATCACGAAACCGTCCATTTAATATATTGGGTAAAGCGAAAAGTAATGTCTTTTTTTCTTTTTGTATGTCATTTTGAAACCAATTGTCGTGCATTTAAGTACGTCAATTATTGGTATCATTATGAAGCTCAGTTCATACTGTTACTGTTTTCATTTCATTTTTTCTCAATTAATGAATCTTACGGCGAAATCTTGAATATCAGTAAATACCAACGGTGTTTCAAAAGCAATTTAAAAACGGCGACCGAAATCTTAATTTCTCGCTGCATTGTTTTGTTGCAAGATGCATCGTTGAACGACTCGTTTTTTTAGTAATTCCGCCTTTAATCTTTCCAATTGCGCACAGTAGATCTCTGCTATGATGGACTGACCAGATTTTAATAATTCATAATGAATCTCACTCGAAATATCTCATCAGGCACATAAAAGAACCTTTTTTAATATCAAAGATGGTTGAGATATTAAAACCGATTTGTGACCTGGACAAAGCCATTGTTTTTTTTATGTGGATTGCTATAAAGGATCCATTTTTCGCCTCCGGTAACAATTCTTTTCAAAAACGGATCAGTTTCATACCTGGTTAGCAGCGAAGAACAAAGCGCTGATCTAAAGCGGACAGCGGTAGATCCTGCGGAACCCCTTGCGTGTATGGGGTCGACTAGGGATAGCCGATATCCTGCGACAATATTTTAATAGTTTTAGATCTGATTCCACTAATAATTTCAACACGTCGTCATCGATTGTTTGTGGCACCCGATTTCGGCTTATTCTTAAGATTCGGTTGCTATTTTTAAATTGTTTGAACCACCGTTGGCATTGACGAATATTCAAGATTTCGACGTAAGTTTCATCATTTCAACATTTTTTGTAGCTTTGTTGGGCTTTAATTTTCAATCAAACAAAAATAACAAAATACACCGCAACTGTATCTCTTCAATCTTTGGCCTTTTTTATTTTTACTATCTGTAAAAATAAAAAAAAAAAAAAATGAAATGAAAACCGTATGAACAGAGCTTCAAAATAATCGGCACAGTTGCACGATAATTGGTTTCAAAATGGCATAAAAAAACGACATTACTTTTCGCTTTACCTAATATTATCACGAATTATCGAGCCACATTCCTTCCACAAAAATCGTTCAACGTTTCGCCAAGATGAGCAAAAGTTAATAAAGGTGCTGCAATATCGTTAATTGTAGCGGAAACGCGAAAAGTTACATAACAAACACGTAATGCGAGTTACGAACGGGAACCGGCAATTTAGCATTCTTCTAGCGGGTGTGTTCAAATTTCTTTCGAAAATTGGCGATCTTAAATTCTGGCGCTATGGCCGACTGCCTGTTTGTCGCGCTCGCGCTCATCTAGCAAGTAGGCGGTTATCGGCTGACTAATACCGTATTCTCTGCATGCAGCGCGCGTCATTTTTCACACGTTTCATATTTACGAACCAATCGCGTGAATAACCACAAGCGATTATATAATCGTGGTATAGCTCGGTGATAAACAATCGCCCTTTCTTCCTTCGACGTTAACGAACACTGTTTGGACGATTTTTAAACGATTTTTAATCGAATTTGTCTGTCGCGCTCTTGGAACGTGCGAGTGCGCATATATTTTCTATCTTCTCGTCGCTGTACAAGAACTGTTAATATTAAAATATCTCCGGCAGGTTCCGAGAAAAATAACGAATATGTAATTAAACAACGATGCACAGATACGTAGGTAGTCATACATGTAACAGCAAGTTTGCAAAGTTTCGTTTGCAAGTAAATTTGCATTCATGCAACGAGCAAGCGACTACGTAGCGGCGGATGCACGCGCGAAAGTCGCGCTGTGAGGTGCCGATCGCTCGATAGCGCGGCACGTATAGTATGTATGCAAACGTGCTCATTCGATTAACGAATCACCCGGACGAATTTAACCGAACGAAGAGGACAGGACTGACTTATTGCCCCTCGATAACTATCCCCCTTTGTGCCTCGGCTTGACTGAGTTATCGGCTTACCAGCGACAATTTGGTAACCGTCTGTTCTCTTCGGTGAAAGTCCGCGGCAGATCTCCGCGTGCCTCGTTTCTACTTCGATATAGTTTCAGTCTCTTCGCGCTCGAAAGTTTGAACAGTGAGTGAAAATAACCGAGCGAGGTAACCGTTAGCTGTTTCTTTCACAGGCCTGATGATGGAGTCGGAGAAGAAGATCTTCGAGATGATGAACAAGAAGGCGGCCATGTCGAAGTACTGGATGCCTCTGGTCTGGGCGACCAACATCATCAACCGGGCGAGGAGGGAAGCCCTGATAACCAGCGACCAAGTAGTGCAAACCCTCCTGGTCGAGCTTAGCGACATCCGGAAGAGGCTTGGCGCGCTCATTGGTTACGACACTGTTTGCGTTCCTCTCGTTTACACTCAGGTGAGTATCCCGATACTCCGACGAATCGTGTCGAACACGTGTCCCCCGTTAATATCCATGTTTGGAAGGCAAACAACCTTCGTCGAAATGAAATTATTAGGGGTGTGCTATAATTAATTGATTATTTTGCATTTGTTGAAGTATCACGCCTAATATTTTCTGCCTGAAACTGCCCTTTTTTCTAACAGTCTGGAATGCAAACTCTTATACCATTACTATACCATCACAGATTTTTCTCGTTGTTTCTGTTGCATTAAAGTATGAAGAAAAGTACGTACATATGACTCTCAGGTGTCCACTATTTTACTGCAATAAGAAAATTTTTAATTCTTCGCAAGAATTAACTAACAGGGTGCTTCTACGAAGAGTATAAAGAAAAACGTTCTCTCGCTTGTCACGGTCGATGCAGAACTAACGACGCGTGAGCTCTCAATCAAAATTGGCTACTTATGAGTACACCTAATGCATCGTCGAAGTCTGACGATTCCCTTCGTCGACGAGCATTGTCAAAGAGCGAGGACTCAATGGAGGAGTAGCGGCAGCAAGTATCGTCCCGTTTCGAATCTCATTCAGAAATCGCGGAGAAGCCGCGGGTAATTGCGGCGATGTTTATCGTCATTGAGAAGTGCCAAGCGTTTCGAACGAACGACTTCGTCCCGAGCCGATTCTCATTGTTACCACTTCGTCGCTTTGATACTGTTGACAGCGTACGACGCACACTTTGCGTAACTCTTAATTCCGTCGTTAGCATCACAATGCAGCGTTGTTTTCTCTCGCCGCCTCCACCAATCAAGTTCTCCAAGATGAGATCTCTTCTTCAGCGAGAGTCTCGCGAGTCGACACGTGAGGCGGCGTTAAGGGAACGGCATTTTAATTTTTCCCCGACGGAGTAATCTCCACGGCAAAGAAAAGAAAAAAAAAAAGTTAACGAGCCTCTCGCGATCATTAGAAAGTACGTCATTTCGTTGCAACACGATATCATCGATAAAAGACTCGATGCGTAATTGCGGAGGCCGCCGACGTTCCGTGATCGTTCGTTTAATCCTCGACGAGCGGTTAAAAAGCTAGGCAGGCACCTCCTTCGGACGTGAACAACGCGCGTTATCCAGTTCGAGGGACTCGATTTATCGCAGCGCAACATAGTAGGATGTTTCACATTCGCAATTAGTCGGCACGTATGCATTGTGCAACGTTAATTACTCATCAGCTAACGTCCCTAATTGTTGGCTACAAACCACGGACGCCATTATTTTCACGATTATTGAAGAGCCTCTCAGCTCGTAATCTCGCGATATGCGTGACCGATGGCCGAGTCGCGGATCCTTCAAATCAAGCCTTAATAAATTCGACTGTAAAGTCATCATTCTCGAAAAGCAGTTAACAAACACGGATCTGGGAATGAGTAACCGAATCAGTCACGGTCGAGATTACATGCACGATGAGAAAATATTCATTCATTCATTGAGCATGATTGCGTCATCGGTTACCAAGAAGTACAATAAATTTAGAGATAGAAAAACAGAGAGAAAAAAAAAAATACAGTAGGAAGATCGACCGTCCTTTGCCTCCGAACATTCGATCACGGACGATCTCGATACCGATTATATTTAGATCGGTCGCAGACGATCGGGATAAACAGTTCAGTGGCGTGAAATACGGCTTATTTTTATTCCCGTGACTCGCCTCACATAAATTATACCATTAATAAAACTGCGTCGATGATTCGCGTTCCGTGTCAGTATTATCAATCGAACGTGGAAATGCTTGGGATTCTCGATGTTGGAAAATTGAGCGAAAAAACGTGCCGTTAATCCGTGCCACGCGTGCCAACGTGGTAATTCGCTAAACGGGAGACGTTTCATTACGAAGATTTCGAGAGATAAACGCTCGGGTTGCCTCGAATTAGCGAAAATAACGCGGAGGAGCGCGCGGAGAGTGGAGAGTTCAGGAAGAGCGGAGACCCAGCTGTAATTATTTTCCTTGTCGTGTTTACGTGTCGAAACAGAACCGCGGCGAGCGTTCGTCTTTCACCAATCGTACCTTGTCACCGCGGTAAAAGCAGGATAAAATCGCAAGGTTGCGACTTCCACCAGCACGGTTCTGCGTGTCGTGTAACGATACGTTTGCGGAACACCGTATCCATCGGTTACCGCGAACGTTTGTACAGTATGTATCCGCTTCCACGGAGGTTTTATAAATTTCCAAAGGAAAAAACAAGACAGGGACTGTGAAAGAAAGAGAGAGAGAGAGAGAGAGAGATCAGTTTGCCCGAGAATGCGCTTTAATTATCAACGAATGTGTTTCGCTAGTTTTCCTTTTTGTCTACCAAGGTCTTTTTCATTTGACTCGAAATGCATTCTACGATCGCACTACCGAATTCTCAACGTTATTCCTTGCTTTTTTTTTAACTAAAATAGACCATCCTGCGCTAAGAGTTGCAATTTAAATAATCCACGAACTTTTCTTTATCTTTCTCGCGTTTAACGTTTTCGCGTAGAAACGAGCGGCTCGCCGATAGCGCACGAACGAAGAAGGCAGCGAGCACCGCATGGTCAAGGACGACGAATGAGTCGAGCGGCAATCTCGTGGCACCGCGGCCGTCGATACAGCGGAAATAATTTTCACGGCGCGAGTTCGACGCGCGAGTGCGATCATCTCGAGCCTCCTCGTACACGCGGTGATCAAAGTCTAAAGATAAAACGTCGATCGTGCGTCTCTGTTGCCAGCAACCAGTCTTTGCATAAACAATCGTTTCCTGATGGCCTTCGATGAGAAAGGCAGTGCTCTTAAAACGAGCTCTCGATATCGTTTCATTCAAACTGAAACCTGCTCGTCCACGCGTTCATGCGACGAAAGGATGAAACTAACAGAGAAACAAGCCTGAAGTTGCACGCCCTTTGACAAAGGAACCTTTCACCTTAGAAACGATCAACGTATTCGCGATGATTCTGATTTTTCTGCACATCGCTGTGCAGAGAACTTTCTCTGTGTTCGTCATCAATTGCAGCGTAGCTAGCGTGGCTGCCCGCCACGTCCTCGTATTAAGTTTCGTAAAAATATATTCTTGAAAACGAACGAAGAAAGCAACGCCGAAGGGAGCGATATTTATAGCGAGTAACGCTACTTCGTTCGTTCTTTCTTCGATCGCGTTTGTTCGTTCTTCCACGAGCACACAGAAAGTGTACGATAGTCGAATACTGTTCCAGGAATCGAACAATATGACGTAAGCAGGCGATAGTTACCTATAAATTTCTGTCGTTTGATTAAATCACTCGTCCTCCCGACAATGCCGCGTCCAATGGGGACGTTTGATTAGCGAAACGCATGGAGCTGCTCGCGTTGTTTTTCCTTCCTTTATCGCGCGTTTAGCGGGAAATATTACGACTCACAATCAGTTTTATTCAGACGCCGTTTTTAAACGTTTGTCGTTGATCCAAACTTTTTTTTTGGTATCATCTACCAACAATTTATTTACCAAGCGTCATCACTTCAAATAAAATGATGTAGCATTGGAAATAATCATTCAGATGGTATTTTGTGATATCGTTTAAATTTAAAGCAATAATCAACCCGTTGGGAGTTTGCTAGAATAAGTATAATATACAAGAGTTAATGATATCTAAATAGTTTTAGTAATCTCTGGAAAAATAATATATCGTTTTTTAAACTTTCGTAAAAAGCAATAAAAAAAAGTCTAATTCATGTGAATTATTGAGTGTCAATTGACTTATTTAGGACTGTCTTCAGAAATTTCTTCTTCTGAGATTCTTTTGTTCCTCTTACGCCGTTATTATATATTTCTCTATCTGCATCTGTTCAGGTACATGTTACACATCGCATCGTACAACACTGAATGTACACGTTCCTTATAATTATCAACAAATTATTAAAAGAGCAAATCCGAGCTGTTGGCTAGATTTAAGTATGATGTTCTCTTAGAAGGGACAGTTGAATGCAGAGAGTTAATACCGTGATATCCGCGTCTAATCGAACAAGTTTGGACACCGAGTTTATTCACGTTTTCCAGGTAGTCACGCTATCGCTGTACGCGTATTTCTTCTCCGCCTTACTCGGCAGACAATTTATCGAGCGCACCGACGTCGGAGGCGGAAAATACGAGGAGCCAGACATGTATTTCCCATTTTTCACAGCCCTGCAGGTAAGAGGACTATTCGTAGATAAACGTATTAAGAAAAAAAAGGAAAACGAATACGATACGATCGTCGACAAACAGTTGTCCAACCGCAGATCGATTCAACCTGTTCGTTTCAGTTCTGCTTTTACGTGGGATGGCTGAAAGTAGCCGAGGTATTGATCAATCCTTTTGGCGAGGACGACGACGACATCGAGTTAAACTGGCTGATCGATCGTCACATCAAGGTATGACAACCGACTTTCTTCGATTCCATCGGAGAGTTATCATTTTTATTTATCGTTATTGAAATCGAAATTCGGCTCTGTGGTCCGCGAGATCGACATTCCCGTTAATGACGACGTTGGCGTTTATTTGACACAGGCTGGATACATGATCGTGGACGAAATGCACGAGGAGCACCCAGAACTGTTGAAAGACCAATATTGGGACGAGGTCGTGCCGAAAGATCTGCCGTACACGGTGGCCAGCGAGCAGTATCGTCGAGAGGAGCCGAAAGGCTCGGCCGAGCATTATAAGGTCAAAGACAGCGACGCCCTGTACGCGAACGTAATGCTGGGCACACAGATCCACAATCACGTCCAACATCGCAAGACCCACCAGGATGACATGTACGCCGATTACGTAAGTGCACGTCACCAGATGAACTTGAAACCCGCGACGTGCAACCGGCGTGCTACCTGTATTTGGTGTCACGATCCAGTCGCGCGGCAAACACAAACGTTGAAGAAACATTTACCTCGCGCGGACAGAGGCGTTGTATATTCATGCTCGTTTCCATACTGTTTTCAGGAGAGCGTGGACACACCGTTGGTCGAGCGAAGGAAAAATTGGCTGCAACGGCAAATAACTAGAATGGGCTCGGTGCGTAGCTCTTCGACCACTTACAGCAGCGGTGGCGGTTTTTTCTCCAGAAATCGCCACAACAGCGTTTACAGCAGCCCTGAGACCGGCGGCATGCCGCAAACGAACAATCCGAACCTCAAGATGTCACTTTACGACAGGCTGGTGGGACGGAAGAGCATCCGGAGTCAAAGAATGGGTCGACAAGGCAAGTGATTTACGCAAATTACGTTACAGACGTAAGACAGACGTGTCTTCGCACTCGACGCAATGGAAACAAATGGAGACAAATGAAAACACGAGGAATTTCTATGCAAACGTAGATGACAATAATAATTCCCAAGCGTGTCGACAGGACGGTACACGTTCGTCGAAATAGCGTTCGCCGTAATCACTTTGATTTCCAAGCTATTTAAATGATAATGATACGATCTTACGTAACATCGCCATATACATGTCAACAGTATCTCTCATTTCTACGAATTCAAGCCGAAGAGTCGGTGCCTCGAGCGCGTACTGTGTTATTCTTCGTGATATCTTCGATGTCGTTATGAAAAAGATCACCTCGAGAAGAAAAAGAGCGAATAACTTCGATCTATTGTTGCCTGAACGATAACCGTATTCCCGTTTTTCCTCGCTGGCATCTTTGAAGATGCGCGATCTTTCTGCGCGTTCCAACGCACGAGGCGAAAAATAATCTTTCTATGAAAGTCTCTCGTTCGAATCTTTTTCCCCGCCTAGCTGCGTGCACGCGGTGAATTATGCAACCTTGTGTAATCTAAAGAACGATTTCCGCAATTGTGAATCGTTCTTCTCGAAAAGAAAAAAAAAGAAAAAGAAAAAGAGTCTTTCCTAAGACCTTGTGCTTCTTTCTCTTATCGCGCCTCTCACCGGCGTGGCGACAGAGAAGAAAAGCGACGCTGCAAAGGCGGAAAAGTACTTGGAAAAGTGGCGCCTAATCGCATTTTATTCCTGCAATCTATTCTCGGACTCGGAGCCGAGACTAGGATCGCATGAAGATTCGTTTCCTCGTTCCATAGTTTGGATCGCCTTCCAGCGGTAAAATTAACAGAACCGGTGTGAAAATTGGCGTTATCATCTCGTTAGCCGGGAATAATTTAATCGTAATGTTGACAAAGGCCTGTAGTCATTGCGTAACGTAAACGTTCGTCTAATTCGTGTTCGTTTCTCGGCAGGTACCATGACGAAGCTGAACTCGGTGCCGGTCTCTCTGAAGAATCGACCCCGCATACCGACGCCAGACGTGACGAAAGAAGTGGTCGACCGTGAGCAGAGATTAGCTCTATCGGCGACGAACACGGCGAACATCGGAGCAGGTGTCGTGGGTGTGATACCGGCCAACGGCCATTATCCGACCGATTTGCCCGTTGTGCAGGTGGTGCTTTCGCCCATTCAAGAAACGGAGGGGACACCCGTGTCCGGAAAGTCCGGAGCGGCAGCGTTAGCGCAAGCTGTCCTCTCCCCTACGTTGACTAGCGCTGGTCTCGTCGCCCCCGTCACTCTGACACCGGTCACGATGTCGCAGTTGTCGCAGCTGGGCCTGGTGACGACCACGTCTGCGTCCATGATCAAACCTACGTTGAGTCAAATCAACAACATTTCGAATCAGGTCACCTTGACCGAGGTGAACAGCGCCGAGGAAGAGGGGTCGAGCAGCAGAGACAGCAGGAGCGGTAGCATCACAGGACAGGAGGAACGCTCGACGCCGTTGATAAGCCAAGGCAGAAGCACTCCACTGATAGGAGAGACGTCGAGCTCGATGGGCAGTAACGGTAATTCGCCGACTTTCGACAGCTACAACGATCGCTCTCCGATCCTCATGAAGCCCGAGAAATTGAGTTACGTGATTACCACGGTTACCACTCAAGATGGCAGGACAGCGCCACGTGGCAGGCGATCGGCCTCGCTGCCAGGGCCGCCGGTCGTGCAATGCCGAGAGGACAGAAGCATGTCGCTGCCACAGTCGCCGGGTCTTCAACCGAGGGAGAATCGCGCGGCCTCGGTGTCGAATGGCCACGAACCTCCGAACATAGACAGGCTGATAGCGCGCGACAAGGAAGTCGCTCGACCGAGGACCAACAGCATCGATCACGATCTCTGTAGGCCGAGTCATCGTGTCCAAGACACTTCGAGGAAGATGAGCAGCGTGTCTTGTACGAACGCGTCGCTGTCCAACAGCCTGGGCACGACACCCACTACCGCGACCACCATAATGCCGGTGACCACTCCAGTTGCCGGCAGCAAGAGGGGAGAGGTGTACGTTTGACTTGACGATCCAGGGACAACGTGGTAAATTTTTACTCGCGGGCGACTCAACCTGCGTTGCACTTGCCTGAAATCCGACTCCGTCCGTTGTAGCGACGATTTGATAGCGCGTGTTTCATGCGTGCGGCGAGAGTAGGATGCAATTCTCACGTAACGAGCGTGAAGCGATAATAGAGCGTTTTTTTTTTTTTTTTTCTTATCGATCGAGCCGCAGGGGCCGAGAAACGCTTCGATGTAAATACGATGCTTAATTTATGAACATAATTTCCGATCGACGAGATAGCTAATTATCGACAGAGAATTGACACTGAGAATATCGAGCCACTACCTACACGGTGTCAACGACTGTTTGACGATCGAAGAATCGTGGAGATAACAGCGATGCAATCGAGTTCGTCGATTTCTACATGTAGGTATCGCGAGAGCGTTTCTCTTTCTTTTATCGTACGTGCAATAACTTGGAGGTTAGCGAGATGACGATGCGCAATCGACATTTACGAAAGCACGTTCTCGTTTCCTTTAGGAGGAAAACCGTATTGTCCGCGCGACACGTGGAAGAAAGTAGTAGGTATCACTAACACGTGACTTTTCTTTGCATCGTAACGACGAACGCAGGGTTAAATTTCAATCTTATGTTTCCGCTTCTTCTCCTTCTTTTTTTTCTTATTTCCGGGAGTACATACGCTGAGAGGACAAGAAGTTAGGTTACGCTTGTAAATATATAGCCTCGTCGTTTTTTCGACTCTTAGCGTGTGAGATCTTCTCATTCGTGTGAATCGACTGTGTACTTGTCCGATGTGATTCGACAATCTGGAAATTCGACATTGTTAATCTGTTATTAATCCGCGACAAGACACGAAGCGCCACGATGGGTCAGGCTCCAGTTGCGAGCTGAAAAATGACGAGTGCGTACACGTGTATGCACGTGCACGAACACGCAACGTTTGCCATATTTGCCATACTCGGAGACATTTTGCGTAAAGCAAAGAAAGAAACTGCGTGCGGCTGAAATTGCGAATCTTCGATCGGTGCGATTGAAAGTTGCGCAATGTTTTGCACGATGCTCGACGATATCGTCGATACTGCACCACTTATTATTCCACACGTGTAAATGTTAGGAGACATTAAGTTAGTTTTTATCGATACGGGGGCACGCTCGTGAATCCCGTGCGCGCGAAGAGCAAATGCAAGCTGTGCTACTCGACGAACAAACTCGACTCAGAGGAGAGCGAATTAATCGGATATTCTCGATTTTGTTGCTTTCTCACTAATGCAAAAAGATGTGCTTGCTTTTTGTTTGACCGCGTATTCGGTCGCGCGTTTCTCTCACAGGCGCTCGACAGCTCAAGTCTTTTTTTATAACAAATACGACGTTGATATGTACGTTATAGATCGCTTAACTATAAGTAACGAACGATTCGATGCATATGAAGAATCAAACTTGGCGACTGTGCCAACGAACGTGTGTACATAGTAGAGGTTATTAAGTTGAGGTTACTTGGTGTATGAGATTATGAACGTATGCTCAATGGCAATGCACGACTCACGATACTTACATTGGACAGATACTTGATCGACAACGCGAGCCCGAGCATCGTCTTTGTTGAACCTCGTCGGTGAGTGCAGAGTATGTAAATACGGGCATATTTCTAATCGACTTGTTATTCCATTTATTTCTTCTCCTCCCCTTTGCCCCCTTTTTTCCCTGCGGTATTGTAATTTAAGCAAACTTGATTCCTGATCGAATTCAGCGGATTTAAAGATTAATTCAACGTCGATGACGTTACACGAATCTCGTTAGCCGAGATGGTTGTCAGGTAACGACAACCTCGATTTTAATTAATCGCGTAACGCACGAGATTACCCAGATTAGTTTCTGTTAAGATACAAACGTATTTGTGTCGAAGGGAAATTCTCTCGACCGAGACAATAGTTTGTTTCGTTCAGGGTTCCAATAGGATTGGAACATGTTTCGTCATACAAATAAAAGAAAAGTATTTTGAGGATTTGTCGGTATTCTCGAGCCGTCAGTACCGTCATGAACTTCGAACAAATAATGGCGTATCCGAATTTGTAGATATTTAACAGATCGTGTTTGTATATATTATAGGTTATACGTCTCGTTTTCGTTATGGCATCTCTCCGATCTGAGACTTCCTTTAGGTAAAGAATTGTTTCACGGTGCCCGAGTCGTGATGTAAACGAACCACATGTGTAAGAATATTCTTATTATCTATATTCTGCAATAAAAATAAACGTTTCTAAAAAGCATCAATCCCTTCTATTTCTTGAGACTATCTCAATTCTCCCGAATCAGAGTGTCGAAAGCCTTGAATTTTCTGCAATAAAAATAAACGTTTCTAAAACGCATCAATCCCTTCTATTTCTTGAGACTATCTCAGTTCTCCCGAATCAGAGTGTCGAAAGCCTTGAATTTTTCTGGCTGCAAGGATTGGCGGATCTATGCGGATCTCGGCCGGTGGTGGGAGGTTCCGTTACTTTCAAGAATATCAGAACTTCTAAGCGTCTTTGAAGTTTTCTGCGATTACTAGCAAATGTTAGAGATTCGAAAAGGTACTCCAGGTCTCGAGATGTTGCACGACTTTGGCAAGTCTGCAATGACGGAAATCTCTCAAAATCCTCAGAACATCCCACAACTCCTGAAACTATTGAAATCTTTGAAATCTCTTACAGTCCCATTACTCTTCACATTCATGTTAATCGAATATTTGTTGAAAGGCAAAGTAGTTGAAGCATTGCCAGAATCACTAATAATATATATGTATATACTGTTTTACAACGTAATTTATTTTTTTCTGTACACAACCGTCTTCTATGCGAGCTGGACATTGACTCAAGACCAAAAGACTAACGCATAACAACTAACTACCTCATCGATGATGGCGTGGTTGTTTCCTTTCCACACTCCTCCTCAACATCGCCATCCTAGATGGCCATCAGGCCACAATATTCATCGAGACCCTCGTGTTTTCGAGTAATTTTAAGACTTTCTCCATCGGCTTGTATCGACTCGGACAAATTTCGTCTTTCCATTTCTCTGTTTACTCGGATACCTCCCACCGCGAGCTCTTCGGAATTCCTTAATAAAGAATCCTCCTACAGTTACCAATTATAATCCCTCGTGAAACTTCTATTGCTTGGTTATTAGCAATGCAAATGCCGTGATATCGCGTTATGAATGAAACATTTCTCGGCGTTAGAGCTGCTTCTCGCGGCATGGGATCCAGGTTTTCAGCTGGGACGCGCGGCAGTTAGTGGGGACACCCCGCGGTGGGACGCTGTTAACGCGGGTCTAGTTGAATGTTCGTCACTTTCGCTCGTTCGATCGCGCCGGCCGGTTGGTTATGTTTCTGCCCCCTTCCTATTTTCGTTTGCTATTTTCGTTCTTTATGTTCGTGCGTACCTACGAACAGATACCTCGTCTCAACTTTAATCGACCGTTTTCTACCTTTTTCTCGCCGCTTGATTCCCCGCTTTCACTCTGATATTTATTGTAGTTGCTCGTGTGTGCTCGCAATGCCGCGCGGCTGTATTTCGGAAAATAAATATTTACTCTGATCGGTATTACTGCCATTATCCACTGATTACTACGCGCACGCAAATTTTACATTGAATCGATCGGGATTCTTATTCAAATAAATCAATTCACTGACGAACCAAGGAGTGGCCTTCTCCCGCCTACCCTATCCCTCCTGTGATTAGAAACTGCGCGTCGTTTAAAGTCGGTAGGCAGCAATCAACGTCTAATCGAGAATCACGCGGAGTGTCCCTACGTACCACGTACGGTTACCCCCCCGAGCGATACGATTCAGCAGAGCTAATCACTTGCTGGTTGTCTGGCTCGAGCAAAACAGCGGAATTGTGTTCGTCACTTTTGAGGACACGCCTACGTTGTTCGTCCTCGTGGAACGTACTCGTCGCTGGGCAATTTCTCCGATCGCTCCCAGCGAGAAAACGGACGGCTGTCCCAGGAGGCTTCTCAACTCTGCGTGCTTCGCTTTCATAGCTTGTCCTCCGTTCCCGAACAAACAGGAGCGGCTCACACGCACCGTTATCCATGCCGAACTCTCGAAACTCTCGCACGCGAAACGCTAAATATTTATTAGATGCAACCAATGTACCGACAACCGTCCATCGTGTTCCACCGACCTCTGACGCTGATATCAATTTCTGTGACGAGACTGCCCCGAGGCTTACACGCTAGCGTCATTGAAAAGTTGAAAGCACCCGCTTCCCAAAGACTGTCGACCAAGTTGTTAACTCCTTGGCTACGGTAGAGGTTTGATACGTACCGCGCATAGTATACGGTAGGAGTTCAATCGCGACCTACACTAAGAACGACGAAATTTTTCGTCAGAAAATATATAGAAATAATCAAAACATTGAGTTCCCTATATTAAATTATTATTTATTTATTCGTATTCTGTATTAAATTGTTAGTGCAAATTTAATAGTAACTTTAAGCTTCATTTCACATAATATATCCAATACTTTAATAAAATGTGGTATAATTCGGAACTTGGGTTAATACATAGTCTTCTTGCATTCGTAATCCCTTCTTCTTCTACGTTTTCTACGCATTTGCGCCTTTTTTTTCGTGGTTAATTTATTACCACACCTTTTCATTTTAAGGATATTAAACGAAATAATTGTAAATTAATCACGTTTAAATAATACAGGACTAACGGAAGATGTAATCGTTGAATTAAAATTCACTCATGTCTAACCCAGGTGAAGTTTGCTGCAATTATTGTCGATAACATTTACCGGGAACTAGTAAGCACCATTAATTTGATTATGTAATGTGAAGTGAGTGCCTGCAGGAGCTGTTCGTTTCAGCGGACCGAAATATGTAAGTTAATAAGTGCCAACAGTAGCCAAGGGGTTAAGTAGGCTACACTATTATGAATTATTCTTACTATTGGCGCAAGAATATATCTATCATTCCCGAGCGCTGAATTGTGATTTAGACAATAATTTTTCACCTCGTTTTGGCAATTCGGACGCAAAAACGCCACATGTCAAAGACTCACGGAATCAAGGCAATACATATTGTTGACCATCCGCGTCTGTTAAGACAGTCGCGAGCCTGTTTTCGATAACGAGCCATTTTGAACCTTCTAGGAACGTCTGAAACGATTAGCGTTGCCAGGCAAATATAATTGGCCAGGACGAACTAGCCAGTTCGTATAAAACAAGCTCGCGGGCGGCCAAGCGAGCAGTCTCCGTTATTCGAGGATAATCGTCCGTCGTTGATAAAGAACAAGTAGCCTCCATCGTTAATAATCAAGAAGAGATTTACATCGTTTAACAAGTAGAGTTTCACATCGTTAATAAAAAGTAGAGTTCTTTCGTCGAAGCGAACGTAACATCGAAATGTAATTTATCATAACGCGACCCCACACAAGAACCTCGTATGGTTCACTGCAATAAAAATCACATATAAACGTGCAGTCCCATCATTGAATACTAAGCAAGTGAAACTTGACCGTGCGACTGGTACTACCACGAGTTCGAACACTTGCAGATATCTTCTTCGTCTCTTTCGTACTGAACTCCAAGCTATGCATATCGAAAGAGCTAATTTTTCGTTTACAATGACGACTTTGGTTTAATTTATCTCCAGTTTACAATGACTCGCGTGTGACAAGCGTAATAATGACTCTCTTCGCTGCATCGTCAGCGTGTGCAAGCCACGAGAGAGTTTATCTCTGGAAATTGCATTAGGAACTGTGACGATCGCGAGGCTAGTGTGTATCAACTCTAGCAGCTCTCGTCACAGCTTGGCGCAATAATAAATCATTACGCGTGTCACGGATTATCGGATTGGCCGCGGTCGGTCGCATGATGGGTGGCGGACGGCCGCTTATCAGCGGTAGCATGTGTTTGCACTCAGCTATGCCAACCAACCGTTTTCTTTTACTAAAAACTTGTTACCTTGTTACTTCTTCGCCATACTTCTACTCCCTCTTTTTTTCCCTTTTCATCAGATTTTTTGTTCCTTTTGGACACATCTTGGCTACCGAGAGATTAGGTTACACCAAACGTCAATGAAGAACAACTGTCCTGATATATAAAGAATACACAATTATACAATCATACACTTGTACAATTCGACGTTTATTCAAAAACGGTGCAGTTCGTGCGCGTAAAATTCAACAGACTCTCGTTTCTACTTCCGAGTGTCATTTATAGTCTTTTATAGTCTTCGAGTAGCACCCTTATTCCTTTCAGACATATCGCAGATTCTAGGAAGTCCGAGGAATTTTTGTGTCTTTTACGTTTTCCCTTCAACGTAAATTTTATTGTATTGTCAGATAACAGCGACGGAAACGCGTTAACGCGCCAATCGAGATTCGGTTGACGCGTTGTCGTTACCGAGCTTTGGTAAAAAATTGCCGACATAAACCGTGATCGAGTGCAACACCAGCTCTCGGATAGCGGAAACAAATTGGGGAGATATCATTTATGCCCGTCATTTCATTGTTGAAGAATACGTTTGTCGCCTCGTCGTTCGAGATAGAGAGGCTTTTACGACGGCTCACCACGCTTTACGACGTTTCGTGGTGTACGTCATTGTCACGCGCAGATACTTTGTTGCAGCAACTGCAAAGACCGCTAAATATTCGTCGGTTGGTCGCTGATTGTGCAACGAATATTGACACGACGGACGGAAATTATCCTTATCTTTGAACCTCGATTCTTTCTCGACGTGGAAACTCCAGTATTCTCAAGCCCAATGATGGCGAACCTATGATCTGCGGGTCAAACACTGACCCACGCGTTGATTTTTATAAACTTATCATCATATATATAAAAGAATTTTAATTATTTTTCGAACCTCTCTTTTCAAACAATGTTAAGAAAATTACAAGTATTCGGTTAGAGCTTAAAAGTGAGAAATAATTGGCATAGTTGTGTTTTATGTAGGATGTACCACTTAGTTATATATACATATAGGCATTTTAAGTCTTAAATGTTAAAAGAGTTAGTTGTGTTCAAAAAATTTTATATAACGCTTACGATTAAACAGATGTAATAAACACTAAAAAACACACTAGATCCCATTCTCAGAATGGGTAGCTTTGCTAATTTTTTATATAATAAAAGACAGAACAGACAATAAAAAAATATTAAGAAATAAAATATATATATATCTAATGTATAGTGCAGGGGTGACTAGGCATGATGTCATCCTTTTTATATCAATTTTTTGACGTCGACATTTATTTTTTGCTCTTCACTTGCAA